TTTTTTATCAATTTGTTTCGCCTGATCTTAACTTAGTCGTCACGGCACTTGACCTACGATAGCCCAACGCAATCGAAATAAGAATCGGGGATCGTAGTCTTGTGAACGAGTTTGAATTGTATGGCGGAGGATAATCAGTCTTTCTTCAAGATTAATGACTGGTTTTTATTGGCTAATAATGGAAAACTAGTGCAATTAATCTAATAAACTATAAATAATACATGGAGACTACACACGTGTGATCTCAGAAATGAACTAGAAACTGCACCAGTCTACAAGGACGTGTAAGAAATGGGGAATCCAAATCAATGGGCGTTGGCTATAAATATTATAATTCAATTCTCTCTCTTCATTTCTTGTTCCACCTAATTCACTTACCCATAATTCGGTTAAAACCCAGAAACGAACGTACATGAAATTATCTTCTTTCTTAGGCTGTTTCAGCAGCCAAAGACGAGGAGAAGAAGAGGAAGAGAAAGAAGAAGAAACAGGTATGTTGAGAAATCAAATCCTTGATGCAGTTTTGAGTTTGCTTAGAATGTAGAATTATTGAGAAACTTTTGCTGAATGCTAGATCGAACCGGGGGTCAAACTGTTGCAAATTCAAAATTTCCCGTATTCTCTTACAATCAAATCAAAACTGCCACTCAGGGATTCAGACACAAGATTGGAGAGGGAGGATTTGGTTCTGTTTACAAGGTAATAATATATATTTAATAATCAAAAGTTGACTTCAAATTTCTAAAATTGGGTTCTGATCTGGTGAAATTACAGGGACGGCTTCCAAATGGGAATTTTGTGGCAGTCAAAGTTCTATCTGTTGAACTTGAATCAATGAGAGGAGAGAGGGAATTCATATCTGAGATTGCAGCATTATCTGATATAAAGCACGAAAATCTTGTTATCCTCCGAGGATGTTGTATAGATGGAGCTAAAAGACTTCTGGTCTATGATTTCATGGAAAATAATAGCCTCTTCCACACATTTCTTGGTAATTTTTTTTCAAACTTTTGCACCAACTTGAAACCTCAAACATTAGTTCGCATGATGTTTATCCAAGGTTTCACTACTTTTCATTAATGGATGGCGTTGAGAGTCAAGATCGGACATTTGTCTATTCTGATACCATGGTTGTTTCTTGATGAACAGGTGGGGAACATAATAGGATGAAATTTAATTGGACGCTGAGAAGAAACGTATCTTTAGGAATTGCGAAAGGACTTTCATACCTGCACGAAGAAGTCAATCCTCACATTATACATCGGGATATCAAGGCGAGAAATATACTTCTGGACGAGAATTTTACGCCAAAACTCGCAGATTTTGGTCTGGCTAGGCTGTTCAGAGAAAACATGTCACATATTAGTACTCGAGTGGCCGGAACTTTGTAAGTGGAAATTCATATAGTATCGATTTTCTGTGAAGTTGGGTTTTGTTTGTTAGACAATGTTGTTGCTAATCGTGTTTTTCTTACCGTTATAAATGCCAAAGGGGCTATCTTTCTCCAGAATATGCAACCAGCGGACATTTGACCAGAAAATCGGATGTCTACAGCTTTGGAGTATTGTTACTGGAAATTGTCAGTGGTCGTCCTGTCGTTGATTACCATTTACAATATGGAGATCAGTTCCTAGTAGAAAAGGTAACAATTCCGAGTAACTCGATTCCTTAAACGTTCTCATTTAACATTAATTAACCTGCGCAGGCATGGGAAATGTACAGTTCTAATAACCTGTTGGAGCTAGTGGATTCTGTATTGGGCGGAGATTTTCTGAAAGAAGAAGCTATCCGATTCTTAAGAGTCGGTCTGCTATGCGTGCAAGAGACGACAAAGCTCCGGCCTAGAATGTCCACGGCAGTTAAGATGCTGAACAATGAGATGGAGACGGAAAATATTGAGATAACACGGCCTGGACTAGTCGCTGATCTGATGGAACTTAAAATACGCCAGAATCAATCGTCGCATTTTTCTTCTTCGCAGGCATCCAGTAGCACGGGAAGTTTCCAAGCAAGATGACTCGATATCACAGACTAGAAGTAAAAAGAACTCGAGAATTTTTACAAATTTGGGACATTTTGAAGATTCTTCTAGTCAGAGTTCTTAGTAATGTAATTACCGGAGAGCTAGGAGTACATATTGCTTTCAACTGTAGTCACTGAATATTGCATTATTCATTCATTGTATAAAGAGAGTGAACAGTAATCGTGATTTGATCATGGTGGTTTTGATAATTGGCATGTAACGATAAAATTTTGTTAAATATCATATACGAATTGTTTGTGTTTATTCCATATACAATTAGGCTAAAATGCTAACAAAATTATCATAATCTGCAAGCATAGGTATGATATGATGAATCTGTCCTAATCGTGATGGCATGTTTGGTACACAATACTGAACATGAATTCCAGTGTAATGTATATAATAAGTCAATAGCTGAGGTTATAACACCAATGAACACATCTCAATCTAAAGAAGCTATTTTGGCGGCACGTAGATGCAGAGTTCCAACCGTATGCATAGCTCCCGGCAGTTCTGACTGCCATCGAATCGAAATTACAAATGGCATACAAGGAGACATGCATATTTACAGTTGTTTACTTCATGCACATATTAATATACCTTAAAAGATACAAACTGTGCTAGCAGGGCTGGAATTTGGGAAACCAGATGTTATCTAAAAAAGGGATCTATTTACTTTAAAACCTGCAGAAGTGCTACACGCACAGAAATGTTGGACGGATTGCTAATGGGAAGGTTTTATTGGATGTTGGACAAAAACAAAGTTAAACCAACCAATCCAGTGTTACTACCTCATCATTTGTAATTTTTTCTGTACATTTCATCCGTACAAGAAGCCTAATTCTAAAACCTGAGAAGACCATAGAACTGCAATTATAAACGAGAGGGTAATTACCTGCCGCTATATTTTAAAAGGATTATTCAACATTCAATTACAGAAACTTGTTTAATATTTAAGGAAATCCACAATCAGGATTAGACAATTCAGATTATTTTCTCGAGAAAAAGAAGAAATTTTTGGGAAACTTGATATCAATCTCATGACTCGGGCTTTCGAGATGTAATGATAGCGAACTTGATAAGTCCCTTCTTGTATCCTTCGATCATCAATGGCATGGCCAGTGCTCCTTTTATTGTCTTCCATCCTAAAATTCAAGTAACAAGTACAATAGAAATCGCCAAAAATGAAAATGAAACTGAATATTTGGTAAACAGGAGACAACAGAAATCCAATATGAGTTTAATGAAATCGCGAAGGACATAGGATTTACCACTTCTTAACAATGAGGTGATTCCCTTCCATGTCAATGCTGACTTTATAACTGCTGGCCAAAATGGGGCAACATATTCAGACCAGTCTGCAGCTTTAATATCCTGGCACAACAGTTTTGGGAAGTATGTTAGATTATGCCTATAAACACAAATAGTCGAAAAATAAACAATCACTTGATTTTTCTGATTCAAATTTGGATAAGCAGCAACTGTTCATTGCAGGTACATTGGTTGTTCAAGTACATATTGTGGAATCCATTGCCTCAAATAGCTAACTCGATATAAATAATTCAAGTGACAAAAGAATGAATTAGATAATTACCTGAAGAGAGAGGGATTCAAGTAATTTTACATAATCAGCAGTAGAACACCATGCCGGAAGGTAAAAAGCATTACATATCTTGTTTAACAGCTCTTTTTCCTCTGGACGCAACGATTCTTCAGAAGGAGAGAGATCCCTATGACACCATGTAACTATAATTATCGTCCCACCAGGAGCAGCCACTCGAGCCAGTTCATTGACAAACTAATAAAGTTTGAGAAGGCAAGGAGGTAAAATCACAATTAGATCACTCACAAGAAAAAAAAATGTCTATATTACAGATAGACTAGGAAGGTGATAGCGAAAATAGAACCTTTGTTTTGTCTGGCATGTGTTCTCCGCTCTCCATGGACCAAACCAAATCAAATTGCCCATCCAGAAATGGTTGATTCAAAGCATCGGCTACTTGGAATGAAACCTGTTTTATCTCACCCTAGTTAGTTAAGATACCC